ATATATTGGAGATGCGCCTCGCGCGCGTAATGAAAGTGACATAGACAAGTAGATTTTCCGTCTACTTGCCAGTATTTGCATGCCACGACGAGGCTGTCGCTACTACTGCAGTGGCTTCACTAGGAACAGTAGTAGCGCCTCTATTGCTAATTAAACTGGTGCATTTGGCGTCTTCTGTGTCTGCTTTTTTGTCGCTGACTGCAACTGTCCCCACTGTATCATCTGCAGCAACCGACCGGAGCACAAACCGCAACTGCAACTGCAACTCCTAAGGAGGCAGGAGTTCTAATCCTACACTCTGTTCCAATCCACATCTCCTAGGTGCTTCAGGGTAGTCATCCAGACATACTTGGCGTTCCGGGACCTGTGAGAGGGCCTTCTCGTGCTCTCATTGTTGCCACTACTTTGTGCTGCCGCTGCGGTTTCTAAGAAGAGGATCTTTTAGGACAGTATGGCACTAATACTGGGAAATATGCGGCCACAGAGGGGGCAGCGAACACCAGCTGTTTTTTCGGCCTCCAACATGCGGCGGATCGGGGACAGCAGCAGCGACAGAAATAAAAATGCAACAGCAGCAGGGAAGGTTTTTGTTGCTGACAAGCCCGTGAATGGTTGTTACGACTGCAGCAGAAGAAACAGCCACGCGTCTCGGCTAGGTCTGCTGCAACGAACTGCTGCAATCAGGGCGTGGCGTGTGGCCGTCCAGCAGGCGCAGCCACCATTGCTGCGTCAGGGTAACATCCCTGCTGCTGGTGTTTCGGCCGTTGCTGCAGCAGGTGCTGCGGCTGCTGCAGGTATTTTATCAGGCGGCTTGCACCAAAGACACTTTTTCTCGAGATCTCTGGAGAGAGTAGGATCAAGACAGGGAACGACGGCTGTAAGCGAAGCGGCAGCAACAGAAACGGCAGCTGCAGATGCAGTTAGTTCATCTCGTCTCCGCAGGCTCTTCTTTGGGTTCGCTCTTGCTGCTGTTCCCCCTCTGCTGTTACAAGAGCTGTTCCAGCAGAATCAATGCAGCCAGAAACAGCTCAAAGGGAAGAGAGGCGTCTCATGGCTGCTTCGGGGTGCTGCGCTGCACCAGCAGCCCACTGCTTGGTGCGAGCAGGTGCAGCCACTGCCTCTGCAGCAGGTACAGATTCAGCAGGAGCAGCAGCAAAAAGTGCGGGCGCCCCAACAGGCTGACGAAAAGGACCTGCAGCTGCTGCAACAAATGGTGGGAGAGCCTAGAAGTGCCTGGCCGTTGTCTGTACACTCGACACAGCAGGCGCTGCAGCAGCTCGGCCTTGCAGCAGGCGTATCTCAAGTAGCAGCGAATTACCCCGTCGAAGACAGGGCAGTATTCGCTGCTGTCTCCACTGCTTGCCCCGACGTACCAGCAGCGGCAGCAGCGCATCCCACGGCAGCAGCAGCAGCCTCAACAGCACAGCAGCAGCTAATGGCGCTCGCACAGCAGCTGTTTCCGAATGATGCTCCACCAGCTGGGGCGGCTGCTGCTGCTCCTGGCAGTGCTGCTGGGTCCGTGTTGCAACCATCGCAGAAGTCTGGGGGTTTGAGTCAGGGCAGTCCATGCAAGCCACGCTGCCTTGTGGCCATTGTCGATGGTCACGGAGGGCCAGATGTTGGTGAGATGACGCCACTTCATGTGCATGAGCAACTTCAGCGACAGATGGCACTGCAAGGGCAGCAGTAGACCCATCTTCAAATTTAGTACACTGTTTGTACACTTCTCTCACTGGCAAGACTTGCTTCTTCGTGCTGTTGCTGCTCCTTCTGCTGCTGCTGCAGCCGAGTACGTACACCAACACTTGCCTCGCTTTGTAGCTGCTGAATTAGCTGCTGGAGACGAAACGGACCTCAAGTTTGCAGAGAAGGCACTGGCCCGAGCTTTTTGTCGACTGGTGAGGAGCTCGTACCCTCCTAAGAGCTGTCTGCTGCTATTGGGGCTACTACTGCAGCTGCCCTGCCGGCTTGTTATTCCTTTTCTTTCTTTGCAGGACGAAGCCATTGGCGCCTCTGTGGAAGCAGCGTATTCATTAGGAATAAAGAGGAGTGTTAAGGCAAGCCCTCAGCGTGCTGCTCCTGCCGTTGCTGTTGCTGTTTTCATTGCTGCTGTCCGATAAACGTGAGCTGCAGCACCGGCACTCTTGTGTTGGTAACGCAGTAGAGTTGTGCTTATTGTTGCCACGGCGTGGACTGGGGCGTGACTGCAGGTAGGGGCTTGCTGCTTGGCTCTCCTCTTCACGGAAAAAGGAATCGTTGTAGCCAACAGCGGCGACTGCATGGCTGTGCTGCAGCGCAGTAGCGGAAGCAGCAGCCATCAGTTGGTGGAGCTTAACACACAACAAAATGCAAACTCCCCAGACGAAAGGAAACGGCTACAGAAGCTGCATCCAAAGGAAGATGATGTTGTAAGATGTGGTGTTTTGCTGCTGTTCGAACGCTGCTGCTGCTGTCTCCGTAGCTCTGCCGATTGTTATTTCCCATAAATGTTCTTTCGGCCACATTTGCTGTCGCCGTTTTTGCTTTAGTTGCTTGTTTATATGCTCTCATTCGTGTTGGAGTGCACTCACTTTAGGTGATCTGTAAGAGGGAATGGCTTGAGCCTCGTCAGCCCCAAAACGCATTCCATTCTCTTCTCCATGCAGTTGGCCTTCTGGGTGAGCACCGCGAAACGCCAGTGCTATCTCTTCCGCCTTAGTTGTTGAAGCGCGTGTGGACACGAAGCCTACATGGGATTTCGACCCGAATTGCAGAGTATATGCAAGTGTCCGCCGTGTCTCCTGCTGCATTCACTGGCATTGCAACAGTGGTTGCTTCTAGTGCAAATGCTGCCAGCCCCGCTGTAGCAGTTGATGCGTATGCAGCAGCTACTGCAGTGGTATATGGACCATCTGCAACTACATCAGCCACAACGGCCATCACCAAAGCTGCAGCAGCAGCGACTGCTGGAAGCATTCATGTTGCAGAAGATGTTACGTTTTTACATTTTCATATCGAGCACTTTTGCTGTGTATCTACAGGCAGCGAAACGCAGCGGGGCTCGTGTTATGTGAAGGGTCGGCTGCAGCCGACGAGGGCCTTTGGGGATTTCATGCTAAAAAACGAAAAGTACATTGAAGAACTGCAAAGAGGTAGACGGCGGCGGCCCCCGTGCACTAGCAGCAGTGCAGCAGCAGCGGCTGAAGCAGCAGCAGGCACAGCAGCAGCAGCGGCAGGAACAGAGACCTGGTCATTTCCCTATGTAATAGTGGATCCACAAACACAAGTTTTTGAAAAGTCGGAAGCGGATCAGTTTGTGGTGGTCGGCACAGATGGCCTCTGGGACTTCCTCAGTCCTGCGGAGGCAGCAGCAGTTGTCAGGTCATCCCTTAGCAGCAGCAGCAGTAGCAGCGGCAGCACGATGACGGATTTAGCAAAAACGGCGGCAGACGCGTGAGTATTGGCGAGAGAGAAAGATACTTGCTTCTTGTAGCTGCAGCAGCCTGGCAAGTATACTATCCTTCTGGCTGCTGTTGCTAACTCTGTTGCCGTCGCATCCTTCTGCTACTGCGTCCATCGTAAATTTGTTGTATTTTATTCTCAGTCTTGTGCAAGAGGTCATGCGGAAAGCAGCAACGGAACGCGGCATGTCGATTGCTGCTGCCCTTTCTGCCCCCCCGAAGCAGCGCCGCCGCATTTATGATGACACAACTGTCGCCGTCATATTGCTGAACTCAGCAGGGCAGCAGCACACATCCCAGAGCTAACGCGGAGCGTATTGACTGCGTAGGGTGGACCTGTAGGGACCCCCGGAGACCATCATGAAGGGGAGGAGCATTGCAGGTGTGGCGTGGCCATAAATTTACGCAGATGCCACAAGCTGCAGTGCTGCAGTCCGAAGTCCCATAATTTGAGTTGTAAAAGACCCCACGGGGGCTTCTCAAGGTAGCTTTTGGGCTCTATTCGCTTGTAACTGTTATTGGAGTGTGCATGCATTGATGCGGATCCCATTACAATAATGCATGTGCAGCTTGTGCTGCCATCGCTGTTTGTTGGGCATCCTTTAGGGCCCCCAGTCAGCTCTATTGTAGGGTTTACTATTCAGCATTCAGGCTTTCCATATTTGCCTGTTGCCGTCGCGAAAACGGCGCCGCCTGGGGTGCTGTCCTGAAAAGCTTTAGGTTTGTGAGGGCGCTCAAGTGCCAGCACTACATGGAAAATAAGTGTATGATAACAAGTGCTTACCGACTCCAGACAATACAAGCGGAAATATGCACCGTACTAGCGCCACTCCCCTTGGGCCAGCACAGCTGCAGGCTAAACCTCCTTGTGCAGCGGAGCTGCAGGTGCTTGCTATGCATTTGGCGTGCCGATAGGCCCAGGCCTAGTTATTTTAGTTAATCCTCTGACCAGGGAAGCATCTGCGTGATCAGAAAGCTGGATAGTTAAGCCAGATACCTATCTAGGCACGCAGCTGTGGATTCTGGCATGCTGGCAGGTATGCATTCCACGGAGGAGTCTTCTTTGTGAGTTCTGAACCATAGCATCCTGTAAGACCGAAAACTTACGGCAAGCGAATTATATTCTTCATCGAATTCTTTATTTGTGATTAGGAGCTCTATTTTTTTGCGGTGCTACTCACCGCTATGGCTAGCTGCTACTGTCGGTTTGCGGAACGCCGCCTTATTTTTTTGGTGCGAACAAAGAAACGAGGCAGGGAGGAAAAAAAACCAAAAATAAACAAACATGAATTTGTGAGCATTCTTGTGAATACATTTGGATAAATGTATACATTTATTACCTGCAGCCCATAGAGCCAGCAATACGCCAGACTCATACAGCTGTGCCATCAAGCAGCAAAAAAATTGGCTGCTGCTGGTGCTGTTGCTGCTGCCGCTGCTGCTGTTGCCGCTGCTACAGAGGAGCCATGGCCGGGTAGTGCAGCGGCTGCTGCAGATAGCTCTAGCAGCAACTGTTGCTGCTCGCCCCATACTGAGGTCATGTTGCTTGGACCCCTGTATCTAGGAAGCATAGTGCTGCTGCTGCTGCTTCTGCTGTTGCTGAGTCGGCAGCATCCATCGTGTATTGACTGCTGCTGCAGCCGCTGCGTCGGTTGCAGTTCTTTCACCTCTGACTCCTCCATAATCTGATCCCGCTCGCAGCCTGGTGCCCTGCTGGTGCAGCTGCTGCTGTAACTGCCGCTGCAATTGAGGTGTCGGTGAACACGCAAGATTCAGCTTCTGTAGCTGCTGCTTACTTAGTTGTGACTTTTGCTGCTCGATGAGCTGCTGCTGCCGAGCCATTTGTTGCTGCATAACGCGGTGAAGAAAAGCCAGTTGCTGTTGCTTCTGCAGTTGCTGCTGCAATTGTGGCTGTTGCTGCTGTTGCGGGTAACCCTCACCTGACCCAAAGGCGGCATCTCCTCCAAACGAAGATCGGGTTGTGTTGCGGCTGCCTGTTGAGGGCCAAGAAGATGCACAGCAGCTGCTGTCACTGCTGTTGCTGCAGCGGCTCTGTTGTCTGCTGTGGCCAGTGGTCCAGTTACGGAGAGAGCTAGCATCTACTGCTGCTGCTGTGCTGCTGCTTATGTTCTGCCGGAGGGGCTTGTTGCTTCCCGAGGACGCTGCGCTGTCCCCCTCAGTTGAAGGAGCAACGCAGCGGTTGTCGCAGCAGTAGCTGCCGCAGCAGCTGCTAGCTAGCTGCTGTTGCAAATGCTTTTGCTGCAGCTGCTTCTGCTGCAGCTGGAGCATGTCAGAAAGCTGTAAGCTTGTAAATTGGTGCTGCATGGGAGAACAGACCGTGCTGCTGTGTGCAGCAACAGCTGTAGCCTGCCTTTTTAAGCTCTGCTGAGGAGCCGATGAACCCATATACATTTGGGGCGAGAAGTGCTGCTCTTGCTGCTGCTGCTGCTGCTGGTGGCAATGCTTCTGAGGAAAGGAAATAGCAGGTGCTGTCGCAACCGACGGAGGCTGCTGACTCCCAAGCCCAGCAGATTTGTGAACAATGGCCCCGATGGAGTGTCTAGGAGGGACACCCGTTGCTGCTGCTGCTGCTGCTGCTGCAGTCAACCGCTGACGTGTTTGCTGCTGCACGGGGCAATACGGAGACTGCTGCAGAAGTAGGGCTTGTCTGTGCTGCTGGAGAAGCTGCTGGTGTGCAAGGCAGCTGCTGACATGGAGTCCTTCAAAAAGCTGTTGCTGGTTCTGCTGTTGCTTTTGCGGGTTCATGGCCAGCCCGAATGAAGAGGTCAAGGGGCCCCGTGGAGGGCCCCCGCCTAAGTTGTTCGCCAGAAGTCGGTTGTTTTCGGCGGTTGAAGTAGGAGCAGGGCGAACTGTTACTGCCGGTGCTGCTTGTGCCGATGCTGTTGGCAGCAGTGGCTGCTGAGGCACGTCCTCTCTCGCGCTTCCAGTCGACGAAGCTGCCGGGGCGCTGCAGCAAGAGCGGTGGGCTAGAGGGTTCCTCTGCCGCTGTTCCTCCTGCTGCTTCTGCTGCTGCTGTTGCTGCTGCAGAAGTAGCTGCTGTTGCTGCTGCTGTTGCTGCTGCTGCTGTTGCTCCCGCTGCTGTTGGAGATACTGCTGAAGCTGCTGCTGCAGCATTTGTTCATGTTCCCGCTGCTGTTGCTCTTGTTCCCTCCGTTCCTCCTCGTCCAACTGAAGCAAGGAGGCTGCCAGCTGTTTGGGCAGCAGTGGCACAAGTTGCTGCGTAGATACGCCCCGTGCCTGGAGCAGCGCTCTGTCCCTCAGGGCGATGTTGGGGTGAAACGAGAGAATTTCCTTGTAAATCATGTTTTGTAGCAGTCTGTAACAAATCCACGTAGCAGCGTCACACACAGCAACCGACCTAGCCTGGCTAACCGGCTGGTTGACCTGTTGCGCTGGCCACACAACCCGCCTCCTCATTGAGAGATCAGTACTCAAAATACTGCAGCCATACTACATGGGGTGCATCAGCATCATTCTACTTAATTCCATATCCGTGAGGGAACGGGGCTGTGTTAAGGTGCTCTTGCCTCTTTGTGGGAACAAAGCTGTCAAAGGACCAGTCCATTGCCTGGGTGGCTTTGGGCTCGTCTTCTTGACAATACAAACCCTGAAGCCTCACGCACACCGTAGCAATGCACGAAGCTGTACACACACCGGTTCCTCGCCTCTACCCAACTCACAGACCGCATCAAGTGCCAGTATACTATTTCCATGCTATGCTCGAAAACATGCAGGCGTCAGCCCATGAAACCAAAGAGGAAAGTAACCTGCTGTAGCGCGTGCACAAAACAAATAGTCGCAGAAGAAGCCCAGATGGTGGGCTGCAATGACAGAGGGCCATTGAACGAACCCGGAAGTATGGATGGCGGAGGGCCTCAAGAGCTGTAATGCGTTTGCTGGGGTTAAACGTCAGTAGCCGACGCAAGAGGTCCAGGGCCTGGGGACAGGCGCCTGGGAACAGAGACGAAAACGAGATTCCCTGAAAACGGAACAAACAGCAGCATCCTTGCAACAACTCAAAAACACACACACACAAGTTTTGCATCGAAACATGAACCACAAGGGCTCTGTCACGTTAGAGCATGATACGTAGGAGCGATCATCCCGTATATTTGTTGTAGGCAAGCATGCATAGAATGTGCTCACAAGCGAAGCGTGGATGCGTACATGGAACAAGAATGGGACAAAGACTGATCCAAAAAAGTAAAGATTCAGTGGAACCTACATCTGAGTGGGGAAGCTGGTCTATGAATTGTCTGTTTATTTTCATTCTTCGCTTTGTCGGCTTGCCCCCAGGAGCCTCTTCTAGCTTGGCGCTCAGCAGAAATGATAGGTCGGACTCTGACGGAGAGCCGCATATTCGAATGATGCGGCGAAGCTGATCATATTGATCCTTACCTGCAAAAAGTGCGCGACGGCCCAAGAGCTCAGCCATTATGCAACCCACAGACCTGTCCATAAACACAAGCAAAGGAAGCAGCAAATTCTGCTGCAGCGCAACTGGCAGGGCTGAAGGTGCCACTAGTTGGCAGACCCCTGTGGCTGACCCACTCTGAAGATGCAGCACAACGCGAAGAAAGGCTGTTGTAGTAGCTTGCGAACACCAGGACAAATTCGACCTGAAATTGTAAGTGATTGTATGTTTAAATTGAGCTAATGTCTCACCAGATGTCCACCGGCTTGGAATAGTGATAGGGAAAGATCAACAGCTCTGGCGGTCTATACCACCTGGTGACGACATAATCCGTCATCTCCTGAAACAAAAACCAGCAAACAAGAGCATACGAACCGCGTTCCTTGTATGCAAAGTGCCAACGATGTAAGACAGCCCTCGACTAAAAAGCTCTAGAGACAGCCCTCGACCAAAAAACTCTGGAGGCCAAGGCGCAGATGCATTTGAGCACAACACTGCAGAAGTAGCGACACCCTCGTGGCTGTTTTTACAGGCCTTCCCTACCTCGTTAGCAGGGCTTGCTGCTGCTTCGATTGCCCGTTGCAGAGAAGCCCACGAAGACCGACCCACCAAGCGGGAACAGGGGCCCGGAGCTTTGTTGGTCCCTCCGGGCAACGAAGCAGGGGCTACTTGCTGGGACCCATCTGTTTCCATTACACTTAACTGCGAATCTGTGAGGCGGTCAGAAGGGGAGCACGTTGGCTCCTCCTGCTGCATATTGGTCTTGGCCTCCTTGCAAGTGCCGCTGACTCCCCGTGCCAAACCGAAATCGCAAATCTTTACATCACAGTTTAAATTAACAAGGATGTTACTGGGTTTGAGATCTCGATGAATGACGTTAGCTGGGAGCAACCACAAAAGCCGCAAGCAAACAAATCAGGCCCGTCACTCCAATGTTTGTCCCGTATTGTTTGGTCTTCCGTTTTGCAAAGTCTCTAAAGACAAAATGCTGCCCACTATCGTTCTATGGCACCCACCCTCGTGCAGAAACGCGAGAGCTAGCAGAATTTGGTACAGGAAATATTGGTGGTGCTCATGAGTAAGCGGCTGCCGACTGTAGATGACGCGGTGGAGATCTGTATCCATTAGGTCGCTAACGAGATATATATCCTCGAAGTCTGAAGAGAAAACCCACCAAATTTAAAGCATTCAAGCAGGCCCATTTCCGTGAGAATCCCTTCTACGGAGGCGCGATGAGATCAAGACAAGTCTGCATGCAGCTTCAGCTCTGTCTTGCTATTTATTTTGAGATAAGCAGCAGTGCATGCATACGGACAGATGGTAAATTTAAAAGCACAGAAGCGTAAACTGACCCGGCGTGAGGGGGTCCAGGATCTCCAGTAGATGTATCATGTTTTCGTGTTGGAGGGCTTTAAGTATTTTAATTTCCCTCAGGATTCTCTTCGCGTCAACCATATCCCTAAATAGGTCGCCTATCTTCTTGACAGCCACCCGAGAAACCCCGCTTTCCCCTGTCTCCTCAAAGGAGGCTACGCATCCGTAAGCACCGCTTCCGATCTGCAGGGTACGGCGAAACCATGAATTGAGCCAAGTAATGAAGTGCTTGCGTACATGCGCTTGGTTGCTTAGACACAGACGGTTACGCCTCATTGGGTTCGCAGGTTTTGTAACGTGCAGAGCTGCTCAGGCCAAGCTTACTCTCTTGAGATAGCGAAAGCGCTGTGGAATGACCCATGTGGTATCGCCACTAATTTGAATCCTTCTGAGCCTCTCCTTTCTACCGTTAGGCCCAAAGCAGTAGCTGCTTTCCGGAGCTGGAACAGGAGCCACATCTTTGCTAGGCATCGACTCCAGGGAAGGGGCATGGCCCTTGTGAGATGCTGTCGTAAGAGCATCTGCAGCCTCAGTAGGCCGACAGACAGTACCTTGATGAGCCTGGTGAGCAACAGCAGCTTCGGCTGCTCCTTGCTGCTGCTGGAAGCTCTGGTCTCGCTGTCTGTGCGGATTTGCCGCGCTAGCCGGCGGGGGCCCCTGGGACGCCGGCAGGACCTGAGTTGTCTGTCGCAGCGTAGTCCCTTGCGAGCGCTGCATCTTAACCTTGACAGTACACAAATACAAACTGGTGGACAAGAAGCTCAGGCCGCTTCTGAACACGGGCTGCCCGGCATTGGAAACAACGGCCACGACCTAACCCTTTTGCGCAGAAGCGCCTCCAGCACAGTCCCCAGGCAAGTGACACGGAGGACTTGAAAAGGTGTTTGTTTGCTTTTGCTCAATGTACCGTGCGCGGTAGGCTTTGGTTGTCAATCCCGAAACAGCTGTTGGCTGTTTCGCCGCTCGGTGAGCGGCAACACTTCGGTTTCTTCACTCCAGACAAAAGCAAGCAAAGCGCCAAGTCCGACAAAAGGCCAAGGAGAACCAGGAAGGGAATACGTTGAGTCGCCGCCAAGTGATCACCACCCGGCTTCAGCTACAACACCTGCGGTTCTCCCTGGAGCTGCCGAGCTTGCACAGCAGATTATTGTGTTAGATAATGCCAAGAAAGCCTGCCAAAATATTTATTATGGGAAAGTAAAATCTCAAAGGAAACCGGGAAATTCCAATGCCTACACATGCCGCACTGCAGACACTGCGCGCGAGCGGTGGAGTCGGTGTGGCGCGAAAACCTGGAAGCGTTGGCAGTGGCGGACGATTTCAGGTCCCGAATAAGGAAGATAAATAGAGATGAAGGCAAAGAAATGAGAAAAATAGGTATCTGAGGAGCCCTTATACTACAGACACAATGACCAGAAGGCAGCCAGCTGCCACACGGGTCTGATGCCAGCAGGCCTCGGACATCCATCCAATCTCTGCATCAACAGCTCTTCCAAGTCTTCATTCCAATGGTCTGCGAAGCTAATATTTATTAATATTTACTTTTAATAGCATCAATGCCCGCAAATATTGCTGTAGCCGCTTGAAAACCTCCCAAGACTGCATCGGAAGCACACAGTTGTGGTGGAGGAGAAATGCTGTAGCTGGGTGGGTGGAACGCCAACTTGAAGACACTGAACGAAACATTTAATTTATTGTAACCTAACACAAAAAAGTTTCTGCAACATACCTGAACGAATTTTTCGTTTTTCACGGTGGTTTTCCACTGTCGGCTGCGGGTATCACTCTGGAACATGAAGTTTCAAACACTCGCGCCCCATCACTCTACAACGGCACATCGCCTTCTTCGGGTAAATCGTTTCTCAGACATTCATTAAAATTTCAGCGAGATATACTTAGTTATTTTAAGCCGCTTAACAATTGGCCCTTTCCCACGTAGTCTGAACAGCGCCATTGTAGTGCAGACACGCTTCCAGAGAGCACGTGGCTCGTGTTTAGCTTGGATTTCCGAGTCTGAGCCCCTTGTCCTCTGTCACAAAGAGAAGAATAAAGATTAAGATTTTGAGAACGTTTGCACGGCCCAAGCACTTCCATTGTGAGGAAATCGCCGGACTAGTTTGGTCCATGTAGCCCCAAACTCGTAAGGCGCAGAGAACGAATAAAAGGCTAAACTACAGCGGACGCATAGGCACAGTCAAATAAAAAACTCCTCAGAGTTTCTATGGATCAATATTCTGCTTTCAAAGATAGCGTCGAAAGATTGTTAAAGTCGGCGTCCGTCTTGGCTACACCCGCAAGGATGAAGCCCTTATTTTTATCCAGGTGCTGACAAGAAACGAGTCATTATTATTCAAATACATCGTCAGTATCCTGGATTTACGTCTGGTTGCATATATGATCTATGGTTTTGCAGAAAGTATATTCCCACGCTGCACAGAACCCATTTTGGTTTATGAAGCCACAGCGGCAACCCGCACCAAGGTTTACATTACCAAAGGCCCTCATTCAAAAACCTAATTCATATACGCGCTATTAAATAGACCTCTTATCTTCAAGCTCAACGTAGTTATTTTGGGGAAAAGCAGCCTGGGAATACTGTGGCCTTGAAGCCACTTCAAACCCTTGTGCCCTCAAGCCCCTAAGCCCGAGGTGACTCCAACGAGTAGTACGGGTGGTATTTTTTAGTGCTACTGAGCTGCAGTAAGCGCCGAGTTTCGGATATGCTCCTGCACTATGAAACTGAAAAAGACAACAGCAATCAACTGTGAGCCATTTTCAATGTGGTAGAAAAAGTAATTTGCATGCAGCAGGGGGAATGCATGAATGCGGGGTGGGCTTAGTTTGTTTAGTTAGTGCGCAAGAATGTTGGGCAAGCCAATCAAGGCTAGAATAAGTCGGCAGCCATCCACTTTGCTTCCCTCTCAACGAACATCTCTGAGCTGCAGAAAGGAAACTGCGTTGCAGGAGTATTCACTTACAGATGTTGTCTATGCTTTTTAGCGTAGTGTAATATAAGCAGGGATCAACTACACCCCCTCTTAATCAACGTCGCGAAGATGAACTGAGGTGGGTGGGCAGGCACTGCTTGTGAATGTTGTGTGGTTCCGTTTTTGCAATTTTGAAACTTTGCCTTGACACTGGAGTGGTGTGCGACTGCTGTCGGCCCTGCAAATGTGTGAGCAGTGTGAGTTGAAGCTGCGTTTTCCGTGTTGTCTCATGCTGACTGTTACCAGAAGCAGAACTCAAAATTTGATAGGGTGCATATTTCTTAGTTCGAGAAATTTTTCAGCCTTCAAAAGCCTCATCATAGCTTCACTCTACCTGCTTTTTCCTGCAGCCTACTGCGAAAGAGGTCGTGCAAGCATCAAGCAGTTCATGAGCCCACATATGCGTGCATCACAGCATATCTGAAGAGGCTCGAGCACACATGGTTCCAAAATGGCGCTGGGACCCCTCTTAAAATCCGGGAACTGTGGAAAGTGCACCTACAACTCAACTCTAGGAGGAGACTCGGTGCCAGGCTGAACAAAACCAGCCTGCAGTAGCTTTCTTGGGGGACTGGACAGAATAAGTTAGAGACTTCTGCAGAGGCATTAAAAGGCTAAGTAGCAAGCCAAATTTATATGTTGTGGAGGAATGCTCAACTGACGCAAGTGGTGTTAGGACAAACAGTGCGGTTCCAGTTTCAACGAAAAGTTGTCGAGAGAAGGCAAGGCTAGAACGAACGTTGAAAAAGCAAAGGAAACATATAAACCATGAGAAGCCTGGTATGAACTGGAGAAATAGCTCCAGGAAATCCAACCGGAAATACTGAATGCACAACCTAAAGCAGCTCCTTCGATAACCGATGCAAAAATTGGCTAACATAGTCCTGAAGTTGAGGAGTTTGAAGTGATAAAAAGAAGCAAAAACTCTCAAAGAAGAACCGCCAATAGAGTATGTAAAGGGGGAAGCTCGGACATTATTGTGTTTTCAAGCGGGGCCAAGGTCGCAGAACAAAGGTGCCCTGGCGGATATCATGCATACAGGGACGCAAGAGCCCATGGAGCATATTACTGGGGAACCCGGCACAATGCACGAATATTTCCACAAAAGCTTCTATATACTGAAGCACACAGATGAATTTGTTGGAACCCTTTCGTATTCATTGTGGCGGACTTGGATGGGCCATGGCTGGCCGTTTCGTGTATCCCATGGCTCTCCTGTTGGCCACTCAATGTATTAAATCATCATGCTATTTTGGTGCCTTCTAACGAGAGTAAAAGTGCAGATGCATCGCCGTAATATCTCTCTTTCAGTGGCGCAGTGCGGCCAGTGCACACTGGAGGGAGTGCGGGGCCGAAACCCTCTTCGAAGTCGACGTCACATCTGCGCTATCTGATATGCTGCGAAACACTTAATGCCGCAAATGCATGTTTTTGATAAATTGATCCGCAAGTTTAATGTACACTGCGCCGGAAGTGAGGGGAAGACTGGACAGTGTCGCATCGGTCCACCGTCTAGCATCGGCCGACGCTGAACCGCCCATCAAGCCCGTCGCGTCCTCTTCGAGGTAGGTGTGACAATCACAAAATATATAATATATTTTTTCTTTATATCTGGGTTTTTTATTTTACTCTCCACAGTGTCTTTTTTCGGTTTTGATAGGCATTCACACTTGAGTTCTCTGATAATCTATGTTTCGCCTTTCCAACTCAACGAGGTGACATTGAAGGGCAGCGTCTCAATAAGAGCCGTGAGTGATTATCTCAAAAATCCTTTTTCTATGCCACTAAAATCTTTATTTAAGGCTCAAATACTGCCAAATTTCGCGCCTTTTGCAGCATTTCACAATTGGCCAAAGCTGGGCATCCAGACCGCCCGCAAGGGGCCTCCCCATTGTAGAGCAACAAGGCCTCTACCTTTTGAGAAACCCACAGGGCTCTCCTGACTTGAAACCTCATGAAAAAAACTTTTGGCTGAATCAGTATTCTGTTGAAAACCTCCGAGAAGCCCGAAAACAGCATCCGCAAGTGTTCTTCAAACGACATTTCGATCTATTCCAAAGTTTCAAGGAGCCCGTGTTGATTCTGTCCGTCTTCTGCTGATGCTCTTCACTTTTTGGCGAGTCCATTCAATTATCGCTTCGATATCAGCCAGCCTGCGGGGAAAATGGAGCGACAGATTCCCAAAATGCAGATAAATATGCCGCTGGTGACATCTGAGCTCTTCTTTTCAGCACCGGAGACGAGTGAACAGCAAGTTGAAGCGCCTTCCGAAACGCATGCTCCGAGAGAGACACAACTTATCCCTTCCATATCTTCGGAAACCGAAGCACAGTGCACCGGCGAACCCTTGGTCGCAGCTGATGAGGACCAAGTTGACCCAGACGCCGACATCTATGTAGACTTGAGCAAGGAGCTGGCAGCAATTGAAGGCATACATGCAACTTCCTTTTGCAATGCCCCAGCGGGACGAATGCCTAGGAGGGCACATGCCTTTGCTCCCTGCACTCCTTTCCAGTCAAGCAACCAGGCTGAAAGCACACATTTAGCTTCAGCTCAAAAAGCCGAGCCCCAAACATCTGATGCTATAGCCTCCAGTAGCAGGCTCAAACACAGAAACAACTTCACGGAAAGCTGTCTACACCAGGCGGAGCCCACTCTGACTTTGTGGAGCACGAGGTGAGATAGGCAAGACTCAAAAACACCAGATACAGCGCTGCCACTTTAAATGAT